ACCATCATCTGTCAAAAGCGGCCATAGCTCATCCTCCAAGTCAACGCGTTGAGACTCATCATATCTCATCTTGTTCAAAAGCCTCGGTGGCGGGCCAGGAGGTGGAGGATGATCAGGCGTATGAGGGCTCAAAATCACTGGTGAAGTCGATGGGCTCTCTGGCTTCTTCGGAGCAGCTGCACTTTTTGCCTTTGTCGATCGAACTGGACTCCTCGACCTTGCTGGCCTGGTCCTTGGTGACCTCGGCCTAGGCTCGGCTGCACGCGACGTTCTCTTCCTCCTCAATGGGCTTCTGGATCTCGTGCTGCGGCTTGCAAAAGTCGTCACAACATCGGTCAACTTCTTAAGTGCTTGCAAGATCTCACGGTTGTCATTCGAATTTTCAACTGCCGGGTCTTCAGCAATCGTCTCTTCTTCACCACCTTCGACGTTCACGCCATCATCTTCAGCCTGCTCAACTACTCTGACGTCATCCTCATCTTCACTGTCATCATCAAACTCCGGTACCGGGCGAGCTGAGGCCGATGCGGCAGATGACCTCGGGGCCGTCTTCTTCTTGGGCTCCAACACTGGAGGCATAGCCTTTGGTGGAACTTCCAAGGTGCGCTCTTGTCGGATGAAGCTGTTCTTGCAGGGGCCGAAGGGACTGATCGAACGCTTGTGGTCTGGTTCGGGGTCAGGACGATTGGAGTTGAAGCGGCTTCCGGATGACCTGGACCACACAAACTGCACCTGCCTCCACAGCTCATCTGGGCCCACTCTGGACTGTGCTGGTGGATGATCTTGCAAGAAATGCCTTTGGCCTTCAAGTGTCTGTATATAATGATCGAACCACCAACGCTCCGATGCCTTCCACTCTTGCACTTCAAGTCGATCACACCACGGTCCTCCTCATCACAAAACCTGTCGACCTTTCGAAGAATCGTGTCCAGCGATCTCTTGCCTCGAAGAAGTCCTTGAACAATCTCAGGATGGCGGCCTACGTGGCCTCTCAGGCTCACGTTCTGCTCCGGATCATGAAAATCCTTCGCATTCACCTCCAAGATCGGGCACGAATTGCTTCGAAAGTTGATACGATCCGGAAACCTCTCGCCACCAGTAATAATCAAGAACTCTCGCGGTTGCAGGCTCGATACCATGGTGTCCAATGCCTTGCTGACTTCGGTCGCAGAATTGGCCTGAAAACCTCTCTCGCCATTCCATCCGCGTTCCATCGCGGGATACGCAGTGCGAAAACGTCTGTGGCACTTGGGGATCACTTGAAGTTCTGAGGTTTGTTGGAAATTCTGGATCAACTGTTGTGGGGTGACTGCCAACATCATGAGACCTGTGTGAACACATCGGTATACCTTGAGATGGTTACCATCTATGCTGACAATACCATTCTTGAGGTCTTTCACCAATCCTAAATGCGTTTGTGCGTGAAGAGACAAAAGCAGCGGAGAACGACCTTTCGAAAGCTGGTGGGACTCAAGGATACCATGCACGGGTTTGCCTGTCTCGAAATGCAACGAAAATGGCAACGTGCGGGATCCCTCTGTGGTGGTTCCATTTTCACCTAAACCGGCAAAATTCTTTGATGTCGTGGTCGAAAAAGGGAAGTCGTATCCTAGCTTCTTCAACTTGGCCTCAACAACGTCTCCCCAGTGCTTCGAATGGCAGGTGGAATTACATCCCTCGTCGAGCACGATGTAGATGTTTCTGTCGTCTGGGTTGTACATGTCTCTGGATTCGTGAAAGATATGCACCAGACCGTCCGTCATGCGAGCAGGTTCCTCCCCATGAAAACAAATGCCGATCCCTGCAAAGGGGTCTGGATCTTCGGTGTAATCAATCATGGTGAACGAGTCTCCTTTGCTCTCTTCGATGGACAGGTGGAGGAGCTCGTGCAGCTTGATCGAAGTCACGGCCTCGGTTTCGGCTGCCAACGCGACTTGGGCGGCAAATTCAGTCAAAATCTTCTCTAGCATCTCGGGGGTGTGTCCTTCTTCGGGTTCCTCTTCAACCAAACGTTCAATCATTGGGATCCTATCGAGCGGTGCGTTGACGACTTTCTCAGAGGCTGCCTTCCTAGTCTTTTGGAGCTCCATCGGAGTCTCATCCAAAAACGAACAACAAAGCTTGCAATACACACGGTGAACAGACCTGGAAGAACCTCGAAAATCGGTGTCCGAGTGCGGGCAATCGTCATATGCAAACTTCGGGGCTTGATCTCTACGCTCGGTGGTGGAGTTCCCACTGACAAGGCATGTCTTCTTGATGGTGTATGCTGTGCTCCCTTGTTTGGTGAACTCGGAACAATTCTTGCATTTCTCCTTCGGTGGATATGGTGGTTTCTTCCTTGAGGACCCTTTTGGGATTGGCTGCAATGACGATGAAGAAGAAGCACCACCAACCTTCCTGAAAACTGAAGCTCCCCTGTATTCAAAATGCTGATCAACCCACGTGACGAAAGCCGAAGCGATTGGACTCTTGCCATTCTTGATGGCCCATTGATGGTAGTCAGGATGTTCATGAAGGATCTGCCAAAATGTCTTCCCCCTGAACTGTCCAGCTAAGAACTTCCTATCGCTCCCCTCAGGCCTTACGAGGTCGTTGGGACTCACTGGTGCCTCCGGACGAACTCCTGAGCTGGCCTTCACGGCCATGTGAGCAACGCTGTCGGTTGGAGACGCCGCACCTAGAAAAATCCCTTCGTCCTCGGATGAATCACTCATGTGGGCAATGTGTGCAGCAGGTTTCGGGGCTGATCCAGTCTTCGGGGCATTGGGCATCTTACATTGGGGGTCTCCGGCCCAGTGACCTAAACCACCACAACGAAGACACTTGGATTTTGCCTTGATCTCGGACAGTTTCTGTCGACGTTGTTCGATGCTAAGGTGAGACTTCACTATCTTACCTTTACCTTTACCTTTCCCCTTGAATTTATCCTTGCCTTTGCCTTTTGCCTTCCCGAAAGCGACGAATGCGGCAAGCTGCATTTGGATAGCATATGACCTGAGGAACGTTCTTCGGCATCTTCGCAATCAACTACTGCATTCAAGGCAATTGCTTCATATTCATCAACATCATCATGATACTCAAAATCTTCGTATTCAGGATGGCTAGCATGTTCATGTTCTTCAGACTCTTCAACCCCTCCTAGCATGCCTACGAAAGAATCTTCTTCATGATGATGCTCCTGCAAGTCCTCATCTCTCCAATCGAAATTGTCTTCCCAATCGGGATAGACGGCATTGTAACCAGCACGTGGGTATTGGCTACCTTTGCCTTTACCTTGGTACCCCTTCTGGTACCCTTTGCCTTTGCCTACCTGAGGCTGAATTCCCCGTCCTGTCCAGGATCGGGACCCTTCACGAAGATGGATTCCACTGTAGTTGTCAACCAGGACTCGTGCAGTACCTTCGAAGTCATCGTTCTTGCGACAAGCCTTCACCACGAGGATCTCCTGCCTAGAGATACCTGACATCTCCAACAACAGCTCCGTGCGGAAAGCTTCTGAGATCATCATTGTGGGGTCAAGCTCAACCAACAAGGTCCACCAACGTCGTCGACGTTGAGTGTACGACAACATGCTCTCTGTAGGCTGTCTCGACAGTGGTCCTCCATGCTTCTGTCCTGCGCGAAAAAGCTCCTTACTCTCCTCCAAGGCTCGAGGAAACACATGGTTACGTATCACCTCGATGAGACGCTCCAGTCCCCCTGGACGTGCGAGTGTCTCTAGACCTAAGTCTCTGGCAAGCAAAAAGGCATCACCTCTCAAACCTTCTACGATCTTGTTCACTAGGACACTGCGATCGATGATACTCGACTTGTCTGACTTAACGGACGAAGCCTTCGGTGATGTTGCATCAACCTTCGACTTGGGAGTACCGGCAGTCTCACGCGGCTCGGGCTCAAACTCCTCGGGATAGTGTCCAGGCGAAGGGAATGCGAATCCTTCGTCTGACTCTGGTGGCCAAGGCTCCCCTTCGTCGGCAGGTCCAGTCACGGGATCCTGCTTCTTTGCTGGTTGCGTTTGAGCTTGGTCGTACAGCTTGATGCGGAGTTCGGTTCGAAATTTCCAATCATGGAATGATGCAGGATCTCCCCAATAGATGTAAGACCCACTCTTGGTTTCCAGGGGGTTGCCTATTCTATCACCAGTGCTACCCGAATGGAACTTGAGTCCAGCAATGGACATGTTCGACGATTCCGACGGAGATTGCTCCGGCGAGCAATCTATTCCGGGCTCTGTCCCCAACGGGATCAGAGGAGGCAAGCGAAAGCACGCAAGGAATGCAAGCTCAGGCTTGATGTTCTACGATTCCAATGACCTGGATCAGTACGTGCCGGAGTCAGGCCGTCACCTGCTCCGCTACCAATGTCGGTAGCAACCGGAATCGTACTGTCCACACGCTCTTTTCACTGCGAAAGCGAGCACGGTATAGCTCAAGGGCCCTAGGAGCCAAACGGCGGCAGACACAACATAGTGTGACAACCTGGCTCAACAGAATGAGATCCTACCTCAAATTCACACTTGTTAATCTCAAGTGATGCAGGATATCGTACCTCCAGTCCATTCATGTTGAGGATGTTCCGTAAATGCCGATCGGTGGCCTTGGGTGATCTTTAGGTCCCTCCTCTTGAAACCTACTCACATCTCCTCAAAGAAACCGAAGTCACGCAGTCTCTTGTGACAATCTCGGATGATGGAGCTTGGGAGCTCTCTCTTGTCATGGGCAAAGCACATATGTTTCTATCAAGCGTATTCAGGAGCCCCTGATTCAGGTCACGGCCCTCTGGCTGAGAAGTGGTATAGGCAGCTGGAAACAACAGAACAAAAGTTCTTCACGTTTTCTTTTCAGGGCGAGGCCCCGAAAAACCGGGAAAGCAAAGCCGACGCCTTCCTTCTGTTTGTAAGCTGGCGGGGAAAAAACAAAGGCTCTTCGAAGATCACCGACGAATGGATGGTTCAATGAATGGAGCGACCGACTCTCTCAACCGTCCAGAGCCCATGCCTTGGGAGCTGGCTCGGCGCCTTCAAATTCAGTTGGGTGTCAGAGAAGTACTTCCTCGCAGGGCTTCCAGGGCTTCCAGCAGGAGTGGATTTTTGTCCATACCAGTGAGGGAGTTCCTTTCGGCGTAGGCAGGGGATGAGACTGCCAGAAAGTGGCAGAAATCCCAAGAAGCTATTCAGTTCACTTCGTCAAAAACACACAAAAACAACCAAACCACCCCGGATGACCTTGGCATGCACCCCAATCAATGCGCTGTCACTCTCGCAGCTGGAGGGATTAACGACTTCGTCCACAGGAACAAAAACAGGGCAAAGCAGGTGGTAAGTCATGGATCTGCAAAACCCCGTTCGGGCGAGTTCGGAATGTTCGGCTGGTATTTAACCTTTTGGTATCTTTTGGTATAGAACTGTACATGCCAAATTGTGGAGAACCCTACTGTACCTAATCACCTTGCAAACATCCAAGCACGTCCATCTGTCTTTGGATTTCACGTGGAGCCGCCTAGAAAGCGCCAGCCAAAGGCTTCGTAGGTTGAATGGTCTATGCCACCTACTCTACAGGTAGGTTCCACCATCTTTGTCCACTCAGGCTTGTCCGAGAAGAAATGGCGGTCTCTCTGGTGTTGTCAAGATGTCACGTCTACCAAATGGTTGACGTCTGTGCTAGACCGAGCCACGTTAGGCCAGCCCCGTCCAGGGCCAACTTCGATTCAGGAAGAACCGCAGCACTTCGATTCGATTCGTTTGGATCGCCCGGTGCAGTGCATGTCGGAAGGGAATCCGGAATTAACAAAACGCATGGCATACACTTCTCGCTCCATCGTACCCTGGATCAAGTTGGCAACTCTTTCATCATGTTCAGGTCAAATTTAATGTATTGTGACTCCAAGAACATAACAGCTTGGGGTCCAAGGGTCGGAGAGTAGGCCAAGGGATGTCTGGCTGTTCGAAGAACTGTGTCAAGCGCATGACATTCACCTGGTCGGTCATTGAACGTCAACCTCTCCACTTGACGTTCTCCCTGATCCTCCTAGGTCCTACTTCATGAGACATCTCGATGTGACAGCCGTTCACCATGTTCACCTATCCAAGCCGTTCCAGCATCAAAGTCGAGTATGTATGCAGTCCAGTCATGATTCAAATGGATCACGCCCACCCAAAAGGTGTGTTGAACCAAATAAACGCCTCCAGTGAACAAAGGGAGGCCGACCCGTCCACCTCCCGCCCGTGCCCACTCGGCCTTCTGTGACACAAAAAAAGGAGGAACAATCAGTTGCTGTTTGATATTGGATTTAGTAGATAACATAGAGCATAAGGATATTGTGGTGCTAGTCATGCTACAGCGGGCAACATTAAAGCAACCGCTGTGAAGGTCTCCATCTCACCGTTTGTTCGATCTGTTCCATCGCCCTGCAGCTGCAAGGTCCCTAAAAAGCTCAAGATTGGAGGCTCTTGGCTTCAAAAATGATATTTTGTGGCAAATGCAACAGGCTTTGATCTACACTCCAGCTGTTCCTCCAACTGGCCCCGCTGCATCCAGCATGCCAACCTCGGCTGCATCAAACTGCCACCCAAGGTACAACGCCAGCCCACTGATGTGACCAGCCATCTGCCTCTACGAGGATGGCCACCACTTTGATCGAGGGCTCCTCAGACTCCAACAGAGGTTGCCCTGTTGTGAAGCATGGCACAACTGTTTTGGTTGAGGAAGAGCTTACAAAAACTGTTTTGGAACAAAGACTTGGTTTGCGCACTGCAGTCGCAGCAGTTGCGATGCCACAACCACTTGCCGCATACAAGTAGTTGGCATAGTTGCGCTTTAAAGGTGTTGCTTGGAAGGAGGCCCGGGCCTTCAATGCTACCAGAAATGCAGGCACTGGCGCCTCAAACAACACCTGCATCCATTTCATATTGCCTTCATTTGCCTTCCCCCTCATCGGCCCAAACGGAGTGAGCACACCCTCTCTTGGAGCTCAGAAAAAAACCTCTTTCAGACGCAGAAGTCCCCGGCTTTTGACCCAAAGCTGCTTCCGAGTGCCAGTTGAATAGCAACCCTACGAGACGATACTTCTTGTGGCTTTTCTCCGTCATGCTCCTCCGAAAACCTCTCACACCAACTACGTTGACTTCAATCATGCATAGATGGAAGCCTGCGAATCTCGCGCACCGCCGAAATGGCCTTCTGACAATCTGCTGGACTATGGCCTTATTCTGCAGCAGTCAGACCTAAAGTCAGACCTAAATTGTCGGAAACGACAAAGACGAGCAAGATCCAGCTGTGCCCGGCTTCCACGACCCACTGAGGTGGCTTGAGGTGGCTTCGCCTTGGTACCACTTCTTGGTTCGCCCACTGATTTGGATCCAAGGCTCTGAGAGCAAATAAGCTATGGCCATCATGTCATCAACATCTACATCTGTGCTGATGATCACAGGCACTCTCCTCTGCCAGTTGAGCATTCAAATGTCAAGGCATTCGACAAGCAACCGAACAACCTCTACCGGGGTTTGTTCAATAGGCTCTATAGAGGCAACCCGTGCATTGGATCATAACGATGCATGCTTTAAAGGATCTGTTTCGGCAAGCAAATTTATGGCGGCTTTATATTTGGGTCGCAGGTGCCTTAAGTTGAAGGGATCCCCCAAGTCAAGAACAGGACAACAGCTTCCGGAAGGTCAAGATGACACTTCCACCTACCTAACAGTGAGGCCACTATCAGAGAACCCTAAACCCAGAACCATGTGAGGTCTCATCGATCACGTGTGGATCACGTACACTCCCATGTGGAGTTCACTCTGTTGATTGATTTATAAAGCCATGTCATCCACTTCCATGTTAATGGCTCCAAGATGGTCTGAAGTGAATCAGCTCATGTTCTCCACCCCCGGTGCTCCTGGCAGTGTGAGCAGTGCGAGCTGCGCTCACAGGCGCAGGCCGTGAGACTTGTTGCTGCAGCAGGCATTCCTCGTCCGCCAAGACAGCGCGGAACGCCACGAGGGCGATGATCGCCAGGAGCGCCATGGCGAGGTGGCGAGTCCAACTTGCAGCCAAATGGACTTCAGGCGATCAATCAATGAAACATCCCAAAGCAAAGATACCAATTCTTCTTGGGTTTCAATTGGCAATTGGACAACTGTCGAATGCGTTCTTTCCCAGAACATTGACAAACAACACCAACACTTGACGAAAAAGTCTCAGCTCAACTTGGACGAAAAGAAAACCACCGCCTTGGAGATCATCTGTCCCATCTTCTCATCACCGCCCACCGACACCGTCGCGATGTCTGTCGCATGCGTCGGGTATTTCGCAGGACCAGCAGGACCGGCGATGCGTCGGACAGGGCTCGAACGCAGTGACAGGGCGGCTCGAACGCAAAACGCAGTGAATGGATTTGGTAAGAGGATTTTGGGGTTCCAGATGATCTGGAATCTGTGATGGTCTGGTCTTGAACACTGGAAGAGGGAAAGTCAGGCTGGGTTCTGAAATATGTTCTGGACACACATTTATTGTTACATACAAGTTGGACAACGGAACCTGCAACCAGCATATGATGCTGCATATAAAGCACTTTGGGTCAAGGAGCAGCATGTTATTTGACCAAATACAGCTCCCTCAGTATTATAATGTATTATATTGCCTATAAAGGGACACACATCTTGGTCTTACCTTGTTGTTGTTCTTCTTTGGTGCTTTCCTCCCGCTTTCCTCCTCGAGCTGCTCCGCAGCAAACGTTATACTAGGCGTCCTTTTCTGTCCATTGATTGCTAAACTTCGCAAACTTATTCTTACAACAAACAGATCTGCTTGGCGGTTTTCGAAGATCACAAACAACAAGCATGCCTTTAAGCTTAAAACTCCTTTGTGCCTCACCTTCAGGTCGTTTCACCACTTTTTCTTGTTCACTTACTTTCTCAGCAACGCAAAGCTTCGACAAAGGAAAGCAATCCGATCGCTGACTGAAAACTGCATGCTACTCTGCCATCCATTGCTGGGTTCACTGCATCCTGCCAAAGCTTCCAAGAGCTCTCGACTTCTGAAAACCGACCTCCCGCTTTCCTCGTCGCTCCACCGAAACCCGCGACGTCCTCATCGCGAAAACACCGAAACTCGTCGCCTTTGAGGTCCCCAGACTCCACAGGCTTCGCCAACTTCTCCACCTGTGGAACATGGGTGGAAAAGGAGGGCGACCGAGGCTTGGTCGGTGGTTTGCGCGTCACAAGCACCTGAGGAACTCAACATGGCACAAGATGTGCGGTTTGAGATGGTTTCAGGTTTAGTCTTAAAGTGCAAGGGCGGTTACTCGCAAAAAGAGCGGGAAAATATTGACTTCGAATCTTCGAAGACTTGGTCAGGCCCTCACATAACTGAACAGGTCTGAACAAATTGGGGCAAAAGTTGGCATCGTATGACAGGTGTTGGCCTTCACACATGAGAAAAAACATGGGAACCACATGTAGGGAGTTGCACCATCTACGTTCGCCCTGGTGTGACAAACACATACCATGGAAGTTCAAACCAAGCACCAAACAAATCAACTTGGTCTCCATTTGATGGAACACCAAGTCAAGCGCCAATAAAGTTCACACTGAAACTGAATGTTCAAGAAGTTCCGCTTCAGTCACCAGCCGAAAGGACTAATCTGTATGTGGCTGTGGGACAAACCCTAAACACCTAGAACTATGGAAACATGGTAGAAGCCGTGTTTACGCACGCGGAATCTCGCCTCCTTGGCAATGAAAGAGGAAGCAGCCTCTCAGCTGGGAGAACCCTCAAAATCATGCTCAAATTAAAAGCATTGATGGGATTGCATCTCATCAACATCCAGTTCAAAAGCATCTATCTGTTTAGAGGCTGCGGCATTGATAGACCATGCGTATGGCCAAAATTAAATTGGAAGTTGAAACAAAAATTGTTCTAACTAACTAGTTAAACTAAGGCACACACACACAAGATCGACACCTTCCATGCGGCGATATAAAGCCCATGTCATAAGAACCAAGTTGACCAATGTAACAGCTCTGACATGTGGGCTGTTGGTTTTCTGGGCGAACGCAGCAGCATACTTGAAAGGCACCATCAACCAGGTACTGCAACAGTGGTGAAAGGCATTATGAACCCTGTCCCCATGTGATGAGGATCCAGTTTCATGGATTTGTAACTCAGCGAACCCGCTCTGGCGCCTTCATGCCTTTCTGCATGAGCACCGGGTTGTAACCACTGCTGACCAGCTGCATGCCCTGCGCGGCTGAGGGGGAGCGGATTTGAACACCTTGGCACCACTTGCTAACCATAGGAATGGTCCACGGACCATCGTGAATCATTTCCACAGTCAGTGCCATTCCGTGCCTGAGGAAAGGACAACAACTCTCCAACCTGAAAAGAGGGCCCTCCTGGTCCTCCGCTTGTTGAGCTCTTTGACTGGTGAAGGCAGTTTGGACTTGCTACAAAAAAGCAGGTGGCAACAAAAAAGCTCGCAAAAGAAGCAGGTGGCCACGGACAAGCGATGAATTGACATGATATGATCTTCCTCTCATTGAGGGCTACTGGAGTGACACAAAAGGAGACGCCGGCGAAAAGGCGACTTCGGAAAAGCGCCGGTTCCTTTTCCCCGCCTCGTTCACCATCTCCTGGCCGTGGTGGCGATTCGGGCGCTGTCCCAGACACTCCATGGGACTGCCATATATATATATATATGCCGATCAATTGGGGTGGTTCCAGGGGTCAATGTAGGCAAATATGGCATACATGGAGTGTCTGGTTGTGGCCACTTCGGTGTTTATTTCAGGTCGCCCGCTTCCGCTGTGGTTGCAAGCGTCGATGGTTCATTTCGACTAAAGAGATCCGTCGATCGCCACAGTCTACGGGTGAGGGTGTCGCCCTAGTACGTGAAGCTACACACCCATCATCACCCATATGATCTTAGTCACCTGTTCCTTTGTTTTGGTGACAACACACGGCACCCACAGTGGTTGGACTCCATGGACTCATGGGTCCGGGCCACCTCAAGGAATGTGGATTCCAACAAAGGTTCAGTGACCTGAACTAGGACCCTACCAGGGTACCTATGGGATAGCCTATAGGGTTCTGAAAACCTCTGTTGCTTCTCAGCGGCTGGCGGATGGAGGGCGACTTCCACACGAACTCCACGGCAACACGACACCAGGACCTTTCGAGCAACCAGTACCGGGCAAGCAGTGTCCAGTACCGGCCGACCACCTGGGACACATCTTCGAGGCCACACCAAATGCAAAACGAAGTCTCCCAAGCTGCACCAATACTGTTCTTTTCGGATGTCTCACCCCCCCAAAACAGCCGCATGGGCGCCCTAAACCCTGATTTTTGTTGGTGAACACATGTGAACAAAAACAACAGACTCCCCTTGCTGTGACACCACCGGTTCCTGAGTCAAAACGGCAGCGCTGGTGGTCCCATCTCCAGCATTGGACTCGGACTTCGCCGAAGCCTGGAGGGCGGCGGAGGGGAAGCGCGCATTAAGCGCCTGGTGATCTGGTGAAGGTGATCATAGTAAAGAACAGCATCAAAACCCAACGTAGGCGATCTGGTGTTCAGGCCTCTTTGATTTACTCTCTATACTGGGTTTTTCAATAGCATCTATAATAGCAATGGCCTCCAACCCAAGAGCGATGGTCTGGGATAAGAGATTTCAGAAAGGAGTTTGAGAGTCATTGAACATGGTACCACCGGTGCACATAGACACTGACACTAAGAATCGCCCAATTATACACCATCATTCTTCAAGATTCTACTGGATCTGTCACGCCCCTGGTGCGAGGTCGCCGTCACTCCATGTCGCTCCGTCACCCGAAGCGGGAGTGGACCATCGGACCATCTCTCACTCTCCAAAAGGGTCCCGCTGGGGTCCGAGGCATGGAAGACGGCAGGAAGAGGGAATGGCTCAAGACATCTCAAGAACGAATACCCCATCATTCTGCTTCCCCCCTCTGAGGTGCCTGAGTGAGAAGCTTCACACCCAGGTTCATCTCCTTGTCCTGCATTTGTCAAAGCAAGAAACGGTGGCCAGGGCCTAGGAAAGCTGGATAGGGGCACAACACAGCCAACTCACCCCTGCGCGGCCCGAAAAGAGAGAATGGAACGCATGGCCAGGCCCTCGCCCGTCCATCGACATGGAAGTCAGGCCGCCAGGCCCTCTTTGTTGGGGGACAATAGACGGTCTATCAAAAGTCTTTTGCCTAAAACCGTTGTTAAATCGGAATTCCATGCGTGCCGCTTCATTTGCCAGGAGAAAAGGGTAATATATCTCTGATCTTGTGAAAGCGATTGGAAAAGCATAATCCTGTCCAAAAGATAAGAGGCCTCACGAAATTGCTAACGACCTCTGCAGAATGGCTAGCGTTGCCTCGCAGAATTACTGATTTTAGCTGCGTGCCGCCTCTGACTCTTAACCAAAAACACCAAAGATACCCCGATGTAATTTCTCAACCAGCTAAACTAAAGTGGCTGCACACTAATTGTGGCGACTGGTAATTAGTCTTCCAAGGGGCCATTTCTTCCACTCCAGTGTAAAATGGCCTAAGGATGCCTATAAGGAGGCTTCTTGAGGGATCCCCCTCCCTCCGTGCCGCCACCGAAGCGTGGGCGGCCGAAGCGTGAAGAAGACCTACCTTTTTGCAAGTCGCCCTCAATTCGAAGCATCCCCGGACACGGGCATTCCCTGTTTGGGAATGGTTTGAAACTCATGTCGCTTCAATCTCGGGTCTTTTGAAAACAAACTTCTTATACGAGAACATATAATAATAGATCTCTTGCAATCGTTCTCGAACTCTACGAGGAAATCTCTGCTTCTTTTTTTCTGAAGTCTTAAGGACGCTACTAGCCATGGCTATTAGGTTGGAAGCCCATTGCTACGAACGGAACAAGGACACTACCTGACTGGCGCGTCCTGCAGGGTGATCGCTCGCGCGATGGTCACGCCGTCGTTCACGATCTGAGGCACCTGGCGGACCGTAATCTGGTCCGGTGGGGGGCAAAACTAGGGGCTCCTGGCATCGCTACTATAGGAGCAAGGACGCTACTAGGGCCT